CTGGCTGTGCCATTTAGCCCTTAACCTGGCCTCTGTCACCCCGCTTGTACCTTCTGGGCAATGACTGCTAAGCACAAGGGACAGGCTCATGAACTTGGTCGGGAAAACGTCATTAATAACCTTGAAAAGTACAGAGCTCGATTGGAAAGGATAAAAGCAAGTGGGAGGAAAGGAAGCTGAGGCAGTAAATAGGCTAGACCTGCTGTTACCATGTTAATCTCTACAGGGTTATTCAGGTGAGTCATGGGATTAGTTCATACTGTACCAAGATCCTTCCCTTATTTCTGAAATTATTTCTTTATTGACATTACAGTATATTTGTAATGCAATGTACATTTATTATAGTTTACAAAAATCAGAAATAAAAATACCCATTTAGACCTATTAAAATGGTGACGGGCATTAAACACTCAGCTTAACACATTAGGTGATACAATTACGTGACAGCATAAAGCATTTGGGTCCTCCCATTGTTTTTAATAAGAGATGGTTATATAATTGCAAACCACTTAACATAACCTCCAGTTGTGGTTCCATAATAGACAATAGTTTATTTTATTAATACGTCATAAGAGGTTTACAGCAAGTATTATTTTTAGTAGTAGTCCCTCTAATGTTTTCCTGAATCTACAACATTTCACCTCTGGCTGTTTCACTCTTTAGCTCACAGCATTGTTTTGAGAAAAACGATCATGGTGGGCATGGAAAAATCTGTTTGAGAAGGATTTAAAAGAGAAATCCGAAGTTTAGCAGAGATTATATTTTCATTTGTCATTGGAAAGCCATGTCTTTCCAAGGGAGGTGGATTGAGCACCCTGTCAGAAAGAAGCAGCTATAAACAGCAGTTGGTCACTGTGATGCTGTTAAACAAACATTTACTGTGGGAGTCTTCCTCAGCGTGAGACTCCTCTTGCTCTGAACAGGGTTCAAGGATGTGGTTGAGGGCACACTCTCCAGGACGGTGGCCTTAGGCTCACTGAAGCAGTGACACTGGGTCTGTCTGTAATTCATGGTGGGACTCTTAGGACTGCTCCGATTTCCATGGACCAGCAGCAATCCTCAAGAGACCTTCCAAAAACCCTCCCACAACCACAGGACACCCTTATACCACTCGTCTCTCTTCAGTGAGGAAGAAGGCATAAAACCCAGTTTGTACAATGCTGTTTCTGTGGGATTTGGTGGTAAAGGATGAACATCCATACTTTCCAGAAGGGTGGCTTCCCTGTGTAGATAGTTCACCTTAAACATGTGCAACATACTGTTGGCACTTTTATGACTTATGATTTGCAGAGACTTGTCACCGTTAGAATAAAAAGGACTCAAACTCTGAGGTTTAAAGAGCAAAACTATACAATTACATTTTAACACTTTGAAAAACCTGCAGTGGTGTTTTTGAATGAGGCCAGAGCTTGATGACACTCAGCTTACTGAACTGCAGCTCGCCTGAAAGGAGGTTTTGTTGTGGGACCATTCGATTATTGGGTTCTTTGAGGGCAAAACTGTATCCTTGAGGAATATAGACCTGCCTGTGCTCAGGAGAAGCTGCCATTCATTTCAGCTGGAGTTTAGTTGAATGAACAAGATCATCAGGCAATTAACACTAATTATTTTGGTGCATGCTTATTTTCCAGAGAGAGCTTTGTGCTCCTCTGGCAGTTCTGGTGAATCTGAGAAACGTGAGGGTGGGATCTCCCTTCAGATGGAAACTTCCATCAGAGCTTCCCTGAAGGGATGTGGATTGCTTTCCTCTCAAAAGCAAATCAGAGAGCAGCAGCAGACGGGTTTTTGTGCTGCCTCACTCCTTTCCTAACCCCAGGCTTTGTGTGGTGAAGCTTCACGGTCCTACACACCTCGTGGGCACCTAATTGATAGCAAGAGTCTGCTTGTCAAAGGGAGAATTTCTCAGGGAAGTGCATTTTGCAAGATCAAGTGTCTCTACAGATATTGTGCTCTGCTGTTTAGTGCAATTTCTCCTAGGGCCTTGATTCCTTCTGCTATTTTAAGAGCATGGAAGCCTTTTAATGTCAGGCTCCTAGCGTTTCTGCAGTAGGAGACACATTACTGTGCCGCCAAAGCCTTCATGACCATATCCCCTCGGTGCCCTGTGTTTCGTTAACAGTGCTCTTCCTTTGATTACTACGTGACCACCGGCTTCCTTGGAGTCACCTGGGAAGAGCATCGTGAGAATAACTCGCTAAAACCTGGGGCAGATCCATATCTGCAGGATCCTTGCCCTGTGTGTGTGGGCTCCCACGCAGGGGAGCAAAGAGATGGTCCAGGGCAGTTCATTCCCCCGGAATGCAGGATGAGCCACAGCTTGTGCTCAGCAAGTCTTCAGTGCTGCCCACAGTGACTGACATCATGCAACATGTACCAAAAATGAAGCTTTTCATACCAAAATTTATTCTTTCCTACCCCCGAGGTCTTTGTTAGCAAACAAGATGGTAGTGTTTTAGGGAGGACACAACTGCAGAGCTCAGCTCCTTCTACAAAGGCATGCTGAAAATGTTGCAACAGCACAATAACACTCTTCCTCCCCCCACCCCCAATCATTTTGTTATTCTGGTTCAGTGACATTTATTCTGCCACAAATGCCCAATTTGCTTTACAGTACATATGGTTTACAGAAAGACTAACAAACTAAAATCATATGTTATGCAGAAATCCTTTAACCCGAGAATGCAGACAACCCCATATTCACCCAGCTCTCACTGGTTTAGGTATTTGGTCACAACTACCCGAATACTTTTAGTTGTTGGCCTTCTCTGCATTAGCTTGATTAACTTGTTAGCTGGATCAGGAGATGCTCACTCTTTAAATGAATTGATCAAATGTCCTGCGCAGTAAATCTTATATAAAGAAAAAGCACAAGCATAAAAGAAAGCACTTCAGTACTTGGCTTAGGACATCCTACATGGGAGCCGGTTGCTTCTGAGAGTTCCCCGTTGCTGCTGTTTGCTCTTTATTTAGAGAGGGAAGGGGTTATTTTGCGCTGTGGCTTTTCTGAGTTGTGCAACACCATTTCAGCCATCCGACCTGGTCTGTATGATTAAGCTTCCTAGGAGAAGGCCCTCACTGCTGGCCTTCTGCACATCCGGTGTTTGCAAGAGATCTCACTAAACAAAGATCTAAGCAGGGCTGTAGCAAGGCAGATAAAACAACCTAGTGGATAAATAAAATTTCATATACGATAAACAGTAAATACTGATCTGCCTTAGTCATATGAACAGAATTAGCCGAGTTTTCTTCCTCCGAGTCAATGAAGTTTAGTGCTTCTATGAGAACAGCCAGAGTTTCCATTGCATGCCATACTGCGTGTGTGTTCTTAGGATGACACTGTAATAGTCCAGAAATAGTTTAATAAATATTCTAAGACGTATCATCATAAGCCAGTAGCCAGGGTACCAAATCTGTGATGTTACGTAAAAAATACTGGTTACGTAATGGGATTTTTAGCAGTCTAGTGTCATAAATACAACTGTTAGAGTGTTATTTGGAAGATGACCTCTGTCTGACTTTGGATCAGTTATGCAGCAAGTCAAAGAGGAAGTATCTGCTATATACACTGGGATTTGCAAGCTGCAGCTCCAGCAGTGTCTAACAACTCCAAGTTAATTTGATTGCCTTTGTCCCTTTGATAGATAAATGTAAATGCATTTAAAACAGCACTGAGAAAAGAAGCAAGGGGGTGGTAAGAACTTTAAGCTGTTCTAAAGTTTCCTTCCTCTTGGGCCATGGTGCTACTGGGGGCAGGCAGGTTCTTCTCCTTTCATGAAGTGCCTTCAGGGCAAGCTGGAGAACTGTGATCACCAGACACAGGGAGGAGCAATAGGGATTTTCTCCAGGCAGAGCAGCATAAATGCATCCAGCGATGGTGGTGGTCTGGGAATCATGTGGGTAGCGACTGCTCCAGGGGCCATGGAGCTGTGGGGATCCCCTGCCCATAGCCTAAGAGCATCTTAGGAATAAGGTAGCTTATAAAGAGAGGTGACAAGTTACCTGGGAAAGAAGGGAATTATATATGGCAATAGATGCATTGCTTTATAACCGGAAAGCTGATTTTGCAGCTTGCAAAATGAAAGCCTTCAAAGGCTTCATGAAAGCCTTAAGCAGAGCACTATATGAAATTGCAGGGCTTGATGTGAGTGGCGGCCAACCATCTGTCCCTGCAGGCTTTCCCATCAGCCGAGCTTTTACTGGGGTGGAGGATATAGTAGGTGGGATAAAGGAGCCTTTTCAGGCTGAATTAAAAGCAGACACACACACAAAAAAAAAAAAAAGGTAAAGGAGGCAACTTTGCAAGTTGACGTGAGTTTTTTAATGTTGTGTGGGGGAGCTGAAGGTGCCTCCCGTAGGAGGCTTGGTGTCACACATTGTCTGTGTCCTGGGCAGGGGCAAAGAAACAAATCGGAAACTGCAAACTGTAGCGGAGACCAGGCTGGCTCCAGATCTCTCCTTTCCCTTTGCTTTATCCAGAAATCATTTCCCCCCCACCTCAAAATCCTGCATCGAGTGTAACCATGGGGGAGGACAAGTAGTGTGTTCACCGTGCAGACCCCATTCCCGTGAGCTCCAACAGTGATCCTGCTCCGAGCCATTAAGTGCACCCTGACTAAATGCCATGGTTTAAAAAAACGTCATGGAAGTGGTATTAATCTTTGGAGCGCGCCTGGATTTTCCTCTGGTGCAGGATATGAAAAAGGAGAGATTTCCACACTGCGAGATTAAGCAGTCCTTGTGGTTTAAGGGGTTTAATCTGCTGCTATGCAGGCTGCTGGCTCGCCAGCCTCCGAGGCTGAGTGCAATTGGATGCAGCTGGGGTTTGGCCGTGCGGGTTTTCCCTGCGTGTTCTGCTTGCGTCCTCGTTTTCGGCGTGCGGCGGCGGGCTGGGAGCCTCGAGACGCGCTTGGACGCGCAGCTCTCAAGCCGCGGCCACGGCGCAGGGAGGGGGCTCCGCGGGGGACGCCGCTCCGTGCATGAATTCGGGCTTTTGTTTCCGGCACGCATCTGCCTGGAGACGTCGCGCGGCACAGGCCGTCACTTATTGAGATGCAGAAGCTCCTGGCGTCCCACAAGGCGGCCCATTCGAGTCACATGCCCGAGCTCTCGGCAGAATGGGCTGCAGCTGCTTCCCATCTGCTCACTAGCGTTCGGAGCGCCTGGGCAAACTGCGCCGGGGCAGAGCGGCAAAGGATCTGGGATCCCAGCACGATGCTGGCCGAGGAGCTGTGGCTCGAGAGCGAGAAGAGCTGCGCCGTGGTGCACAAGTCCAAGCGGGGACGGAAGCGCCAGGAGCTCCTGGCCGTGGCCCTGGGGGTGAAGGTGGGAGTGAAGGGGGCGCTTCTGTGGCAACCTCTGAAACTCTTTGCCTATTCGCAGATCAGCTCCCTGGTCAGGAGAGCAGCCTTAACTCAGAATGACAACCATTTCAACTATGAAAAAGCACACAATTTTAAGGTAAGCCCAACACCGGGTTATTTGCAGTTCTGTTAAAAGTTCTGTTGCGATACCTCCTGTTCACATCTTTTGTCTATTTGTTTGTTTTCTGTGACTGGATTGCCATATACCAATCTGTACTCTCTGTTAAAAGTACTGGAAAAAAACATGTTTCTCTGTCCCTTAAGTTCCCTTGTCTGCACTCTTAGTATGCTTTTACATAACTCTTTAATAACAGTTTTGACACTTGCTGTTTGATGTGCAATTTAGCTCTTTTTTTGCCCAGATTTCGATTTCTGTTCCCACCGCCCCCCCCAAAATGATACTTTATACTCTCTTTACCTTAAAATGTATCCGCTTATAAATGATACAAAGGCTACTTTTCAAAATTCCGGCTATTATCAGGAGTCATCAGCACTTTAACAGCCAACATTTTGTACTGGTTGTGTTTTGAAGAAGTTGCAAAAGCCCCAGTGCTCGCTAACCGAAAAGCAGAGCGTGGCTGGGGCAGTGCTGTCTCCCAGCTTTTGTTCCTGCACCGTATGCTAAGGAGCTGCTCTGGAGAGCCCCGCTGAGCTGCAGGGCATGGCCTTGCAGGTCAGACTAGAGCTGCAGAAATGCAGGTGGGTTCAAACGGATGCTCTTGCTGCTGCCTCATCCCTGCAAAATGCGCTTCTTGGGTGTTTTTTTTTTTTTCTTTTTTCCCAAGCGTTGCGTCTGGAGCAGGGAAGTGACTCAGCTCTGGGAAGGGACCTTGCAGGCAGCTCGTTGTGCCAAAAGGGCTGTGCTGGTTTCAGAGCGTGCCAGGCAGTTATCCTGTCCCCTGGTGTCACACTCGGGTTGGATGGTTGTCAGGATGGATAGCGAGAGGCAGGCAGGGATCAGGAAAGCCACACGTCCCGGCTCGGGAAGCTGGGTTTGCTCCTGGAGGATGCACATCTGGGTCACGGTTATTCAACTCATTAGCAGAAAGGAAGATTTCTCATTTCCACCCCTGGCCTGTCAAAAAAGGAGAACACCAACTAAAGCGACTTCACCGATTTCTTGAGTTAGCAAAGAAGCTTTGCCTCTTATTTCTTTATCTATTCGTCCATGCAGACATTACTCTGCTCTGCAGCATTTCTGCTGCAGTTGGTAAACCTCTTAGTTTTCCTGTGTGGTTAAAAACATCTTCTGTTCTTTCTGGGTTTTGCCCTCATTGTCATTTTAATATCAAAACTATTTTAGTTTGACTTAGAAAATATTTTCTCATGACTGAGACTTTTTTCCACTTTGACCCATGCATTCTTTCTCCTTCAAAATTCCCCTTGTTTTGGCTTTGATTTATAATTGGAAATGTGCCCAGTTAACTTTGCGTTTGCACAATCTAGATATTGTACAGTCTCCGTTCCTTTCTGTTTCAAAAGAGTCATAGTTTAACTGGAAAATCACATGATTAAAATATGTATATGTTCAAAAGCTCAACAGCAGAAAATTACGGTTCTAGCTGAGTATATGAAATAAAAAATGTAAGAAAGTAACATTAAAAAATACATTGTCCAGAAAGAAAGGACAGTCATAAGTGATTTTTGTATTTACTTAATGGACAGATATATTCACTATGCAAAAGCAGTTAGTTTTCCAAAGAAGAGTATTAAAATATGCCTAGCCATAAAAGAACAAATGTGGATAGAATGCTTAGAGCAGGATATTTAGAGGAGAAACTCAGCTATCTTTGCTGGATCTTTAATTGGATCTCCTATCTTTAATTGGATCCCATATTCATTACAAAAGTATTAAGAAATGGTTTAAAAGAGGCTTTATGGTCTTGCAGAAAATATCTTAGTGGTTTTTGATGGCATACAAGTTATGATGATAGGGGATTGCTCTGAAGGGGGACACTGTTTTGCAGATATTCAAACAGATTTCTTTCCCATTTTTTAGTGAATACCAACATGTATTGTGTCACTCATTTCAGTTCCTAGGAACAAAAGTTACATGTCACAATGCCCTTCATAATCTTGCCATAGGCTATTCTTCATGAACAAGCAGACACTCTTTAACTCTTGTCTTGAAGGTCTGAAGAAACATAGAAATGAAAGCCACCTTTTTAGTAAAACTGATGAGGTTTTTGTAGATCTTAGACCAAGGATCATATAAGTTCAACTATAAAAAAAAAAAGCACAAGATAAAAATAGACTGAAAGAGCAAAGTTCAGAGTGAGATGCCCTTCTGTCTCTTCTAAACAAACATCAAAATCAGAAAGCAAGCCTGGAGTACGGAGCGCGAATGCCCCAGGCGACGAGCGTCCGAACAGCCGTGCTCTCCGATTCAGACCCCTCTCCCAGATCACAAGGAGCTCCAAGCTGATGAATGAAATGTAGGATTCAGACTCACTGGTCAAGAGCTATTAGGCTGACCAATGGCAATTCTGCAGTAAAAAGTATAACCTCTGATGGTCTTGCATTTTTGAATTTAATGCCGTCATGGGATCAGATGTGCTAGACCCCCCAGAGAGTGGCTGAGAGTGGGCAGTGCGAAGGGACCATGCTAACTTTTTCTGTTGCCACCAAAGTAATGTGAGTCCATAGCTAACTGCACCATGGAGTGGCTCACTCCCTCCGGAATGGACTGGGATGCACAAATCCCCTTGATCAGGATCATACCGTGCCTTCATCCCGCTTCAGCCTAGCTGGGCTGAAAAGTCCTCTGGCATCTTGGTACGATTTGGATCCAGGAGAGACTTGGGGACCAACCTCGGTGGTGTCTCTCCTGCAAGCAAGGTCAGGCTCATGCCCGAGGGTCTGCACGCTGCAGTCTGGGGACATCCCACACGTTTGTGCCAGGCTGGGACGTCACAAGAGGCTAAATAAAGCAGTTGAATAATGCATGTTTGCCACTGGGACAAGGGCAAATCCCACTGTGGGCAAGTTGGCTCCTGGAATGAGGGGAGCTATTTGGTGGTATAAATCCCCCCTTGCATTACGCACTGCAGAGATACCACTTTCAAGAGACACAGGGTCAGGGAGAAGCTTCCTTCTGAATCGTTGTGAAGATGCTCTGTGTGTATTTAAACAGAAATAACAGCAGAGTCAGCTTTTCCTCCCAGCAAAC